TATTTTTTTATTTTTTTTTTTTTTTTTTTTTCTCGGTGCTTCTGAAGCAGCAGAAGCTTTTTTGCTTCATACAACTCACAATATGTGCTTTCTGCTTATAAAAGGGACCTATAAAACTTTCTATTTTAAGTCAAAGATGGATTTGTAATTTAGTAGTCAAAGTTATTTTTAAAAGCATAGTAGCTAGTCTGTCGGATGCTCTGGAGATGGCTGGTAAGGGAACACTGAGTTCGGTTTGCAGTGCCAACCTGCAGAGATGCCACAAAACTGCTGCTTTTCACAGTAGTCGTGCAAAATCTGTGTACTCAAAATCAGGTTACATGTGAAAAGGACTTAAAATGTTTGAATGGGATCACCTGCAATTGCAGCAGAACCAAATACAGAAAAGTGATAAGTTAATATTAGTGTAAGTTCCTGTCGCCAGCTGCTGTCACTGCAGTAAATCATGAGTGCTTTCTGTAAAAAAAGTTGACTGCTTGTTATTCTCTACTCATCAAAAACTCTGGTAAAATACCAGCTCTTCTAATACTTCTGAGTGATTTCTGAGCAAGACAAGTGGTAGTTTCTACTGCATTAAATTTGGTAGGCTATGATCTATTCTATAAATACTTTATAAATTTCACTTAGCTTTTTGTATTTTCTGGCTAAATTTCTATTTCTATGATTATGTACTGCCCTTGTATCATCTCTCTTGTGCTGTGTTGGGTGGGTTTTTTAAAACTCAGTTTTCAGTACAACATGATCAGCCACAGATAAACATTTCTCTTTAACAAAAGAGAGGAGTAAGTTTCTAATTGACACCGTTTAAGCTGTCAGGCTCCTGCCAAGATTGAAGTGAGATGGGCTTCCTCTCTTAGGTGGACAGCCTTACCTGTCCACTACTTGAGCTGAGATGGAGATTGTCATGGAGTAGATGTATAACTCCCAAAAGGTGAGGCTCTGCTACAGCAGCTGTGCCTTCCCAGTCTTTGCTGTGTGGCTTCCCTTGCTGGTTTGTGAATGCTCTTGGTAGAACCTCTGCTCCTGCCATGCAAGGGCAGGTCTGTCCCTGCTGAGGAACTGTGGCTTCATGTCTACCATGACTTACAAAACTGAAGTCATCACTTGCCACACAACAGTAGGTTATAGATGTGACTTGTATCTGGTGGCTGCAGAACACCACCTTGGTGGTCAGGGGGTGTTCGCAGTTCACGTGAACCTGTGTGTCTGCACTCTCTTGTTTCCAGTGATCGCTATCGATATTGATCCCGAGAAGCTCAGCCTTGCGCGCAACAACGCCGAGGTGTACGGCGTGGCCGATCAGATAGAATTCGTGTGCGGAGACTTCATGGTGCTGGCTGCTGACCTGCAAGCAGATGTTGTGTTCCTCAGCCCGCCCTGGGGGGGGCCTGACTATGCCACTGCTGAAATCTTTGATATCCAAACCATGATTTGCCCGGACGGATATCCTTTCAGAGTTACACACTGTTGTGATTTTCAGTCATTTACGAGCAGTTTTCTCTCTTTCTTCTCCTCCCTCTCTTGACGTGGGCTTTGCATGTCCAGTTGGCTGACTGGGAATGATAGACCATCAGTTGAAGTCCAAATGTGCCGCATTTGCTTAGTCCTTTTCCTACCAACACTACCTAAAATTTAATATTTGTATTATAATATTTTATTTTTTTAAATTGTCATAAGAGTTATTCTTAAAAGTAAAAAATCCTTTAGAAAAATGTAGTAGCTTCTCGACTTAAAGCATTAATTCAGCAGTTTTAAGTCTTTTATAATATTTTATTAAAAAACCCCGAAGTAATCAAATAGCCATGTGGTGTGTGTGTACAGGCAATAATTAGTTACATGAGGTATGATTTTTTCATTAATTCCACTTTTTAATTAATTCATAAAAGGTAAATTTAAAAAAACTGTTCTCAATCATAGCACCTACTTATGCCTTGGGAAATCACAGAGGAATGCAAGCAAAATAATAACCCTTTTAATTAATGCATAAAAATCCATACTAACTTATTAACAGTGGTAGTGAGCACTCATTCAGCTTGAAAAGTATTAGCATAATAATTTCCTGAAATATGAAGTGTGGTGGATTTTTTTCCCCAAATAATCTCACTTGTTTCCTTTTCGGCTAAAAGGCAGCCATATTTGTAAGAGTAAAGAAATCTTTGTATGCATGTGTGAGAGACAGTCAGCAAAATGGATTAGAAAATATCAAACCCAGTGTACTAGCTATAAACTATATTCAAATTTCTCAAGTACTTCTCTGCAGTTCAGTTACATTTGCTAAAAAAAAAAAAAAAGAGTATTTTTTTTTTTCTAGTTTCTGAGGAAGTAATTATGAGATAAAGTTTCTGCATTTAGACAGTACTAATTTCTGTGTTTCAGAACAGTATCTAACTCACCCAGAACACTAACTAGAGTTTAATTGCATAATAATTGAATTTGGGACATGCTTTCAAAGCTAATTAATATAAAGCAACTTTTCCCTCCTGGTTCTTGTTTTTTCCTTTACTGGTTTCTACATTTGAAATTTTCAGGCTCTCCAAGAAGATCACCAACAATATTGTGTATTTTCTACCTCGGAATGCTGACATTGACCAGGTGCGTTACTGGATAAGGGCTTGGTAATTACAAACAGCTCAGCTGGCTTGAAACGTATGTATTATAAGCACGAACTTAAGTCTGTTCAGCTGAATGTGGAGGAGTTTATTTTGTTTATGCCTGAACCTTACTTTAAGTGATTTCTGTGTTTGCAGTACATATATTTAGAAAAGGGAGTAGTTTATTATTACCATGATCTTGATACTGTTCCTTCATAAAGCAACAGATTGGAGGGTCTTCTAGAAGGTCCAAAGCAAGTACATTTCTTGAGTGCCAGACAGATACATCATTATAAAAGAGAAAAAACAAACAAACAAACAAACCAGCTCCTACTGTTTGGTAAGTTGCTGAGTCCTAAACTTTCATAGCTTTCAGTTTATGAAGGAATTGCAGGAAATCACTGTACAGCCTGCAGTGACTGCTATTACTAATTAGTAGATCAGAGACAAATGTCATGCCACCAGAGGTGGTAATGATGCTGTCCACACAAGTGTGTGGCTCTGTATGGGCTGCTTGCATCGCAGTGATTAGATTGTTAGATGTGTCACTGACTTGACAAACACACAGTTTGATTCACCAGTGTGTGGTTTTTTGTATTAGAGATTTTTGTTAGAATTTTTATTTATTTTTTTTTAAGTAATGACTGTAACGGTTCCCCTGGGCGTCTGGTTTAGTTTCCGCTGTATATTTTCTATGTTAATTACGTCTTGAAGATTTTTGCAAAGGGAGCGGTGAGATGTTCTCACCTGCATCGTGCTGTAGAATTTCCCAGGATCATTTTCTGCTTTTTGAAAAGCTGTGGCTGACTTAGAGCAGGCAAGTTCTCAAGCTACATCTGGTTTATGGAATTGTTTGTGACAAACAGCTAACTTGAGAAACAGCCTGAAATTCACGTGGCCTGAGTACTAGCACACTATGACCCTGTGCTGCTGCACTATGCACAGCATTGTTTATACGGTGGGTGATGATTCCGTTGTGTCTTCTGTTTCGGGCTGGTGAAATGTCGAAGTGGCTTATGAATCTTTGAACAGGGACCTTCATTTTGGGCAGTGTTTCTCTAGTTTCAAATTCTAACCACTGCATTTTATTGAATGTTTCATTCCCACAATGAAGACCAACCTTACCAGGTTCCTGCTCTGCTTATGACCACTTGTTACTAGATTTACAAGTGGGCTAAGGCATCTATATTTCACTTACATTCCCACAGAAGTACCCAAGAGTCGTGTCCACAGGCCTGCATCTATTCCTCCTGAAGAGCTCAGCACCTCTACATGGTTGGGATAGGTTTCTTGCCTCCTCCACATCTTGGTCTGGTTGTCTCTGAATGTTGTTGGCGTGCTCTGAGTGTTCCTTGATGTACATCCACTGGTTTGCCTTTACACAAATGACTGAAGGGTAACTACTGTTGCCCAAAAACATTGCTTTGTGGTCACGGCTGAGTTGTAAAAAGCCCGTGGCCTGGGTTCAGGTCATTCATCCAGACTATGAGAAATCAGCTCCTTATGCCTTTCTCTAGGGATTGTGCCAGTATTAAGAAAAAAGAACTAAAGGTTGATGATTTGAGAGCAGGGGAAGAGAATGTGAACCTGGCCCACTGTTTAGGTAAATGTACTCTTAATCCTGCCTGGAAAGAGGTGGGTTGAAGATGATCATCCCAAACATGACCTTAGTGGGTACTCTGGTCCATAGAAGACTGGTTATAGGTTTGGCTGCCATCATCTCTGGCTGTATTTAAAAATGAAGTTTCAAAATTTACTGCTACTACGCTTCCAGGAGTGTGAGTCTCCAGAGAAAATTAAGGTTTATCATTTAAGTTCATTAATGGTTAGTGTGGACAGTTTTATTCTCAGCTTGCTCTTGGTTTTGCCCACAGTTGTGACCCATCTTGCTTTTCTTAAGGACTAGATAGGGTGGCTTCTGCCCTGGCAGCTGCCTTGGGAAGAGTCTGTGGAGACCACTGCTAGTGTGTAGTGATGTACCTATGCTTGTGAATATAGTCCATAAACTCTAGGGGGCTATAAAAGCTTGATAAAGTAAATCTTAAACATTCTCTGCAGGAGATTAGTACCTGAAAACAGAATAACTTAGATAACATAATATTTGCAAAACAGATAATCTCATGCCTTAGATTTGAATGGAACCTTAGGTTTTTCAGTTTGATTTGTGATAACGTTGGTCAGGTGTGTAAGATTTGCCTCTTCTGTGTCCTCAAGAATTAACTCTGTGTGCTCATACACATATGTAAGGCTTTCAGGGATCGCTTAGGTCATACAATAGGTGATCCCACATGCTTAACATGTAAAGTGGCAGTTGTTAAGTACTCTGCCTCTTGCCTATCATTGACTGGCTTGAATCTACAACCAGGGTGTGCTTGTGGGCTTGGTCAGTTAAAATTGATTTAGAAGCTGCCTTAACTGCCATTGTAAATGTGCATCTGTGCAAATTTGCTTGTCTGACAGTGGATCTCAAGCAGAAATGGAACTAAATGCCCAGCAGTTAGAAGCAGGAGTCCTGCTGCTACTGGGAATGCAGGTGGTAGCCGACCTTGACCCAGCTATATTGTTGGAGGACTTGGTGTTCATTGCCCTATTGGTAGACAAGACATCTAGCCTTGTTCTGCATTATTTTATTGCAAAAACAGTGCTTATTATGTCTGCAGACGTGGTCTTTTTTGTGTATAAGTTACCCTCGTAGAGAGAGGAGGGGCTCTTGGGCCCCTTACAAATTCACCGAGTTTAGGTGGAAGAGGAGAAGCGAACTTCTGTACTTCTGCCTCGAGAGGGAGCAGCGAACCAGTGGAAAATGGTTGGTGCATTTACAAGAAATGCAAAACATTTCCCTTAGTTGTATCAAATCTCCTTGTTTACGACCATGTTCTTGTTACAAAATTTGTAATGTATACAGGTCTATTTTTAGGTCAAATCAGTCTTTCAAAAATGTTCTTTCTAGTTCAGAAATAGCCAGGAACCATTTATATTTATACATGTGTATATATATACACACATACACATACACATATTATAGGGGGAGGTGTACATAAAAATATATAGTTTTACTAATAGTACCTTTTATGCAGCTCGTATGTGTGACACATTTACTTTTAGCAAAAATAAAATCTCTGTATCTATTTACCAGGATTATTTTTAAGTGTCTTTGATTTTTACCTGCTGGAAATTTGTATTTAGCATCTTGAAGATACAGTTATGCAAGCTCTAATTTTGGGTAGCATGTTAATACATAAAAACAGCAGGATAATTGACACCAATTTTCAGATAACATTTCAATCTTTATGACCTTTATAGCAGAGCAGGAAAATCTATTAGAATAATATTGATCTACTCTTAAGACAGAATACTAGTGATTTTGCTAATTAAAGGTGATTCTGAGAGTAAAATGCCTTCTTATTATTCAACTTGAGAGCTACCTTATTGAGTTAGAAAGTTTTGGTCTGTCCAAGCTCCAGCCTGTGACAAAAGGAAAAAAAACACAACACAATTATAGAAAGAGATTTGCTGTCCAGAAGCCTTTCTCTATGTATAGGTGAGTTGAAGCATAAATAGAGATCCCTAGAAAGGATGTATGCACACTGTGCTCTGAGGGTTGTAGCCACTGTGTTGTGATGTCACATCATGGACCTTTTTAACTTCCTGTACAGTTTTTGCACTAGTAGGCTTCATGGTGGCATGGGGTATGAGAAAAGACCTAATTTAAAAAAAAAAAAGTGACAAGAAATTTTTAGAAGTAGAATAACTGAACAAACAGCCTCTCTTCAAAATTTGAGTCTACTTCACATTGCAATGTTAATATAGTGCCAGTTTCATAAACAAGAACTGGTATATTTATTGAAAATAATACCTTTTCCTGTTAGAGTTGCTATTAAACTTCTGCAAAATGTCCCCTTTTTCAGGCAGCTATTTTTTGCTCTTATAACAGTGTAGGGTAGCAGAGGAGGAGGAGCAATGCTGCTTCTTGGGTAATATATTTCAAAGAATAACATTCTTCTTTCTTTTAACCATTTTTGAGTAGTATTTCTTCATAAAACCACGTGCAAAGTTTTGCACTTAATAAAGTATTGGCGTAAATTCCTAACATAAACTTTATGGTTAAGAAAACTGGCAATTGTTGATTGCTGCCCACATTGACCATAGTGCTGTGAATGTACCAGACCGCACAAGGTACCTGTGTTTGAAATGGTGAGCAGAATGGCATGACAGGCAAAAAACTTGTCAGGTTGATGGGGTTTTTTAGATGGCTGCAGATAACCTATTGCTCAGTACCTACAGGAGGAAATTTTCCCTGGCCTATATTCTATCTATATTATTTATGGTATTCTCCCACATGATTCCTACTGGTTGACTGGAACTATGTAAACTCGGATCTTAATGCAAATTGGCAGCCTCTCTTCACTTAAACTAGCTTGTGATTTGTTACCAGCCAGTTGGAATTCTATCCATCATGAGCTGAACTACCAGCAGTCTGCTTCATGTTGTATAGGTTTGGAACACAGTCCCTGCTAGGAAGATCTTATGAGCTGCATTTATTCACTCAATATACAGTGTTTTTAAAAACAGAAGTAGAGTGGGAAGCAGGGAAAGGTTTATGTTGGTTGAGAGTTTGGTTTTTGGTTTTGTTTTGGTTTGGTTTTTTAAAACCACCACTTTTCAGGCCTGTATTGAAAACTGTGTGTCTTTACTGTTTGCAGATTTGACTGGTGCAAAACTATGAATTGGGTAGATTCCTGGGTTTGGGTTTCTGGGGGTTTTGCAAGGGGGTATTTATTTTTTGTGTTGTTTAGCTATGCCCAATTTAGTGAAATCATTTCACTGTTGCTAGAGCTTTTGCTGTTCTAAATGTTGGTCTCACAGACCTGAGTTATGTTCCAACTGCTGCCAGAAGATACAAATTACCTTTTGTTGTCTAGTGCTTGGAGTGATTCCTTGAGTCCAGAATTAAGCAAAGTGCTCTTGACCCTGATACTCATACAAAGAATACACATCATGTAGTTGCAGGTTTTTCTTTCCTTGCCTTTGGTCCTACCTTATCTTCACAGCTGGTTTTGAGAGAGTCTAGAGTCAGACACCAAAGCCTTGTTCTGCCTGCAAGCCTTGTGCCTGGATGGGAAGGTGTTTGCTGTGTTTCTGGGTTTGAAAGTCCAGTGGTTACAAATGACTGGTCAATGAGGAGAGTGTAAGGATAAGTACAACTTTTATTGTTGTTTTTATGTTTATTTATTTTGATGCTATCTGATATCATTCCCTGAACAGGAAGTCATACCAGAGAGGTCAGTTTAACAAAAGCATATATGGTAACCTCTGTGAATTAAGAGATTTCACGGGAGGCTGACTGGTAAAATTACACTGTTCTCTTTCGTTTAGGTATGATTTTAAATGAGGTTGGTGACTGGTGACCTAGTCAAATGTGACTTGTCAAGCAGTATCTCATTTTTTTAGGAGTAAATATAACAATGAGCAAAGCAGGGAGTGAGAGGCCAGGAGATGATCTTGGGTTAATTTGATTGTATTTTTAAGGTGCTTTGGTATTACAGGAGTTGGCAGGTAGAAGACTGAGAGTTGATTTATTTTTGCAGGGTGATCATTTTTAAGTGAACATAACTGCATATGTTTCAGCTGGAACTGTCATATTAATAACAGCATCTTTTAAGCAGCCCACTTGAAACTTGCGTTATGTTCCCTGTCCTTGATGAAAGGTAAAGCCAGAAGATGCCCCAGCGTACACCAAGCCAGGGCAGCACTTCTGGATTTCAGTCTTCCCGAAGTTCCTAGTGAATACTGAATTGTAGCTTGCCCACCTCAAGTTTTAAAAATTAATAAATCTCTCACCTGTCAAAGGGCGGCAGCACCACTGTGGCAGTGGCATCATTCACCTGCAGACCTGTACAGTTTTTTAAAATATGCTGCCTGAGAGCGTTTTGTTTTATTACAATCAGTGTAAGAATGCCATTGCCTTTTTTCAAGTGAATTGGGGTTTGGGTTTTTTCCCCCTAGCCTTTGGATAGGGGTTTTTTCCCCATGTTTTTACTTGTGTTATGGGAAGTGAAATGAGTCACAGTGTCCTTGTGTGACTGGTTATTAAGGCAAAAAGCTCCTGTGTCTCATACCCCAGAAGAGTTTTTGGATGGGAAAAAAATAACATTAGACTTTTTATCCATAGTAACCTTAATTGGTGCCTGGAACAGATCGGAAGTTACTTTACTAAAGGAATTTCAGTATGATAAAAAAAAACCCCTTCAAGGCCAGCAGGAAAACCTCTGAGTTCAAAAATCCCCCTGGACAAAATAAAAGCATGTTTGCACCTTAAGCAGCTTGTGCTCCTAAGATAATCTTCCATGTTCATTTCCCTTTTCATATTTCTCTTCTGATTTCTCCTGTTTTAAACTTTGAGTCCAAACCTGCTGGCTGCATTTTTAATGCTCCGTAGCTGTGGATTAGTTCCTTGAGCAGTTGCTGAACTGAAGGATGAAGCATCCAGGTGAGAGGGATGCAGGGAGGCACTGACTGAAGCTGCATCCTTTGCCTCATCCCCTGGAGGCCTGGGGCACATGCAGAATTACTCAGTGCAGCAAGGGAGGCAATATCTGCCCACCCGAGTGGGTTTGGGCTAAAGAACAAACCAGGATGAGGAGAGTTACCATCAAGGAATTGTCTTATTTACGCAGGAAGATGCAAAATCAACAAATTTTGGAATAGTCCTTTTTCTTTTTT